TTCCAATGAGAACTTAAAAAAACCACATGAGGTAAAAAAAAAAAAAAAAAATTGCTCCAAATAAGCAAAAAAGTTTATAATGTAGCAAGCATAATGGAGAAAAAGACTATGATATTTCATATACCCACCACCCTTAGAGAAAAAGATAGACTGTCAAACTCTTAAATATGTATGTAATATATAAAATATGCAATATGTAAACTATACAAATACTAGAGGCCAGGTGCACAACAATTTGTGCACTCGGGGGGGGTGGGGCGGGGAAGAGGGGCCCCTCATCCTGGCCTGTGCCCTCTCGCAGTCTGGGACCCCTCAGGGGATGTCTACCTGCTGGCTTAGGCCCGCTCCATGGGGGATTGGGCCTAAGCTGGCAGTCAGACATCCCTCTGGCAGCTCGGGAGCCCTCGGGGGATGTCCACTTGCCAGTGGGGAGCAGGCCTAAGCTGCAGTTGGACATCCTTAGCACTGCTGAGGAGGTGGGAGAGGCTCCCGCCACCACCGCTGTACTGGCAGCCATCAGTCTGGCTTGTGGCTGAGCAGAGCTCCCCCTGTGGGAGCGCACTGACCACCAGGGGGCAGCTCCTGCATTGATCATCTGCCCCCTGATGGTCAGTGTATGTCATAGTGACCAGTCATTCCCAGTCATTCTGCTGTTAGGGTCAATTTGCATATTACCCTTTTATTAAATAGGATATCAAGTATATATATTTCAAGCTCCTAAATACCCAACTCAATCATGGACTTGAGGCACTATTCAACCCAAAAATCACATGCAGATAACAATGGCAGAACATGGGCTTGGCAAATGTTGACTAGGAGTATAATTCAAATACAGATTTTGTTGGGTTTTTTAAAGGCACCAATTCCAAGGGTTGCAGAATTTGATCCATATTTTGTGTGTTTTGTGCCATTTTCTAATATCTTTCTGTGATAATAGACAATGTATGCCTGTGTTTTCTGTCCTGTTACCTCTAACTTCTATCTCGGAAATCATTATTTTGGGCCTGTTTCAGTCATGCCTGTCCAACGCGTTGGTAATTCCTGGGGGCAGGGGTGGGCAAACTTTTTGACTCGAGGGCCACATGGGTTCTTAAACTGGACTGGAGGGCCGGAACAAAAGCATGGATGGAGTGTTTGTGTGAACTAATATAAATTCAAAGTAAACATCATTACATAAAAGGGTACGGTCTTTTTTTTCAATAGGTTTATTCCTTTCAAATGGGCCAGATCCGGCCCGCGGGCCGTAGTTTGCCCACGGCTGCCTTGGATTGCAAGTACTAGCCACATCCACAGTGCACCTCCCAGGCTGCCTGGCGTGGAGCCCCAGTCATAGGAGGCGGGGTGCGGGATGCAGCTCTGTCACCGAGGTCTGGGCCCAGCCTCATCAGCTTCTCTGTCCGCAGCTGTCGGAAGGCCCGGCCGCCCAGCAGACCCTCCGCGGCCTGCAGCCCTTCACCACCTACTCCGTTGGCGTGGAGGCCTGCACCTGCTTCAACTGCTGCAGCAGGGGGCCCACGGCGGAGCTGAGGACGCGCCCTGCTCCGCCCGCCGGGGTGGCCTCCCCCCACATCCAGGCGCTGGCCTCCAGGACAGCCTCCGTCCTGTGGAGTCCCCCCCTCTTCCCCAATGGCATCATCCAAAGGTAATCGGCCAGCCAGAAGGACGAATCAGCCCAAATAAGGCCTGCTTGTCGACATACCCCGCTCCCCGCCAGCAGATGCTTCTAGCCAATGGGCCAGATTTGCTGGTTTCCGTGGTCATGTCCCCTGCAAAGCATTTCAGTCATAATTCAACTAAGGATCGAAAGGAGAGCCACAAACTTGTCTTTAAATAAGAGCGATGCTGCCTGGCCTGGGTTCGCACTCGCTGGAGGAATTTGCGCCTCCTCCCTCGTGGTTCTCAAGTGATCCCTTCTGTAGCTTCTGCTGGGACATCCAGTCCTGTGGTTAACTCAGAATTTCCTCAGTCTTACTTAAAACATTGAAATGAGCCATTGTTTGAAAGAACAGAGAAGTTATTTCACTCAAAACAGTCGGGAGGAAATGATCTTTTTCATTTTTCACGAAGGAGAGCCGTGTTCTCAGTCTCTTCTGAAAAGAGAGAAAGGTCTCACTGCCCAGGATGACCAGCCGCTGGGCGGACGGCAGGGTGTGTCCATGTGGGACTTCCCTCACCGCCCCTGCTGCTCACCCCCACCGGCTCAATAAAGTGGGTCCACCCCCAGCCAGCGTGGCTGGTGGTTGAGTGTGTGAGCCTGTGAACCAGGAGGTCATGGTTTGATTCCCGGTCAGGGCACATCCCGGGGTTGTGGGCTTGATCCCCAGTAGAGGGCGTGCAGGAGGCGGCTGATGAATGATTCTCTCTCCCTCTCCCTTGCTCTCTCTCTGAAATCAATTAAAACACACACAACAAAATAAAGTGGGTCTGAGCTTTTCCCCAGGAATGGCAATTTTCAACAGTTTGTAGTTCAAGGAAAACAAAACAGATCCAGTTTCACAGGAGAGTTACACGGATGCCATGCCCCGTTTCCTCCTGACGTGTTCGCCCTCCTTCCAGCTACGAGCTCCAGCTGCACAGGGCCTGCCTTCCGCACACAGAGGCTCCCTGCACCCCCAGCCAGACGGAGACGCAGTACAGGGGCCCGGGGCCCAGCGCCAGCCTGGGGGGGCTCCAGCCTTACACCACCTACAGGCTGCGCGTCCTGGCCCACAACCAGGCAGGCAGCGCGGCCTCCAAGTGGATCCGCTTCACCACCCAGAGAGAGCGTGAGTACCAGCGGCCGCCACCACAACCAGAGACAGTCAGAGGGCAGTGGGCGAGGTGCATCATGAGGGGCAGGGAAAACCCATTTTATGAAAGGTTTTTGCGTGGAGGCCCCGTTTCATGGGCTGCTACTGAGACGGCAGTGAAGGTGACTGTGCAAAACATCCCCTAGCCGGGTGGCTCAATGGCTAGAGCATCCGCCCGTGGACTGAAGGGTTCCTGGTTCAGTTCTGATGAAGGGCATGTACCTGGGTTCCAGGCTTGATTCTTGGCCCTGTCCAGGCACGTGTCTCTCTCACATCGATGTCTCTCTCTGTCTCTCCTCCTCCCTTTCCCTCTCTCTAAAAATAAATGAGAAAACATCCTCCAATGAGAATTAACAACAAAAAAGCGTGCCTCTTGCACTTAATAACACGGAGATTTTAATGGACCGCGTTCCTCAGTGACCAGCCGGGCCATGAATTATTACACTCGCATTGCTGTTGGCAAGGCTCTTTAACACTCCTAGAAAACAAACAAACAGTTCAAGAAAAAGCTTTAAAAATAAATGGTGCCAATTGGACATAGTTCACTATCTAAGCAGTTTGGTTGGGGTGTGTGTGTGTGTGTGTGTGTGTGTGTGCATTTCATATAGTCCTTGGGGCTTTGTAGCAATAAATATCGATTTGCTATGAAAATGGCTATCTACTGTAGTTAATAGTGTTAAGGATCCTTTGCCTGTTAAAAGAGGGGAAAAGCAACAAAAGATGAGCTGCAGGGCTATGTTGGTGAGCAGAACCGTTGTATGTTAATGGTTTTCTTTCATAAAACACTACTCTCCATTGATTTTTTGGGGGGGCGAAGCAGGTGCAGTTTTGCTGAGAAAGCATTGCACACACGTTCCCACTGGTGGTCTTCTCTCCTCCAGCGCCCGTTTTATTAAACACTGAGGATCATAGAAAGAACTCTGGCAATGCGAAAAGCAATTTATTGCTCATATATGTATATTTTTAAAGGTACACACACAGTCGGAGGTCATCATTTTGCTAACATCCAGATGTCTCTCCCACAGCCCCTCAGTACCAAGCCCCGTTCTCGGTGACCAGCAACTTGACAGTGGTGTGTGTCAGCTGGGCCGACTCCTTCCTCCTGCACGGCCCGCTGAAGGAGTTTGTGCTGACCGACGGGGGCCGGCGTGTGTACCGTGGCCTGGACACCACCCTCTACATACCGAGGACTGGGGACCGCAGTAAGTGCCGGGCTTTTATACCTCAGTGAGGAAGGCGCTCGGGTCCCGAGCGTCACGAGATGGTCACTCTGAACCGTGGCCAGCAGGGCCTCAACGGCCACTTCAACTTTCGGTCCCTTCATGAGAACTTACACCTGTAAGTTTTAAAGGAACAGGTACAGACCATATGCAGAACAAGACACACTCTGTGTACCAGCCTTTCTCCTCTGATAATTCTTTTTTAATGGTTATTGATTTCAGAGAGGAAGGGAGAGTGATATAGAGAGAGAAACATCAATGATGAGAGAAACACTGATGGGCTGCCTCCTGCACGCCCCCCCTACTGGGGATCAACCCCGCAACCCGACCATGTGCCCGGAGCAGGAATTGAACAGTGACCTCCTGGTCCGTAGATCGACGATCAATCACTGAGCCACATAGGCCAGACCGTGATAATTCTTTTACTTTGTTATATAAGCTCTAAACTTCCCTAGTTCTGTTACACACACACACACACACACACACACGCTGTTAGTGCACTAATTGTAGCTCCATAATTATACAGTTAGAAACAGGTTTGCGTATTGGGTGAAACCTCACCCATTCCCCTGGCATTCTGCTTTCGGACGTTTTCCTGCTGTGATGCATTGTTCTTCTAAGAGTGTGCCCCCTGCTTGTGGGTGTGGATGACCGAGTCCCTTACCTTCTGTCCAGCCTTCCTTCTCCAGGTCACGTGCACCACGGAGGAAGGAAGTGTGAAGACGCCTCTGATCCAGTACGACCCCTCCACGGGCCTCGGTAAGCCCTGCCTCGCGCCACGTCTAGGGCACCGCCTGCTCCTTTTCCTAAAGAAACATGCGGGTGTTTGCACACATGTGCTGATGTGTTAGCATAGGTGCTGGGAAGGAATTGTGTGAAGGGTCGAAGGAAATCTTCAAAAGTCCTCCTGGAACGGACGTGAGGCAAGGAGTTAGGTAGACTCTTCAGATGCCAGTCGTTGACTTGTAGGCAGAGATCAGCTCCCCTCTTACACAGACCCTGCAGGGAACGTATTTGGTGAAATTATTACAAATGAGAAGCTCGCCCAGACAGTGATCTGTAGAGAAAGTCACATTGAAGAGACCAGAGGAAGAGAAAAGGCTCCGGTGCCAATCCGTGCTGATCAGAGCGGCAGTGTTCCAGATCTGAAACTAAACCAGTGATTTGGGGAAATGTCTCTCTTGTATCCTCCGTGAAAGATGGCAATCAACCATCAATACCAAGTAATGTAGCCAAAGAGAGAGAATTGCAACATTTTGGAACATCTTTTATTTATTTTTATTTTTAAATGTATATTTTTATTGATTTCAGAGAGGAAGGGAGAGGGAGAGAGAGAAACATCAATGATGAGAGAGAATCATTGATCGGCTGCCTCCTGCACGCCCACTACTGGGGATCGAGCCCGCAACCCGGGCAGGTGCCCTTGACTGGAATTGAGCCCAGGACCCTTCAGTCCGCAGGCTCTCTATCCACTGAGTCAAACCAGGTAGGGCTGGACCTTCTTTTAAAGTGAGTTCTACCCACAGTCTTTGAATCTAACATCTGTGAAACTTGACAATTTCAAAGGGCATGTTAGAGAAGTGCCCAACCTTTTCCATTAGCACGGACTTGGACGGATACCCTATTCTACAGTCCTGTCAGTACCGTCATGTCAGATTTGCATACACACTGGTAGTTGGCTTTTCTCTTAATAAACATTCCTATTATTCTGAAACTCAGGTGACCATTCAGATTGTTATCAAGGGTGGTTTTAGTATGTAAAGTAATACAATTAGTTCATTTTCCCAGACGTTTCATGTCTGGATGCCCCATAAACTTCTGAGAGTACCTAACACAGTTCCCCACATAGTCTGTCTCCTTTCACAGAGCAGCAGTGCCTGGAGCCGACCTCAGCTGGTATATTCAGCAGCCCAGTGTCTAAAGTGGACATTCAGAGGCCTGAGGGACCCCAGAACTCACCCCGGGTGCTCCTCAGGCTCGTGCCTAAGATGAGAACTTGAACGTGGTTTTTCCGTTGGCCCCGTACATTTTTTTTTTTTAGCAGTGGTTCTCAAATTTAAGTGAAAATAAGAGTCACCTCATTGTGCTTGTCTGTTACATAGTTTCCCGGGCCCCTGGCACAGACTCGGAAGCGGAGGGCCCAGGTACCTGCTATATGTATATGTATATGTATATGTATATGTATATGTATATGTATATATTTTAAAAATTGATATCAGAGAGGAAGGAAGAGAAGGGGAGAGAGATAGAAACATCAATGATGAGAGAAAATCATGGATCGGCTGCCTCTTGCATGCCCCACACTGTGGATTGAGCCCACAACCTGGGCATGAGCCCTGACCAGAAATTGAACCCTGACCTCCTGGTTCATAGGTCAGTGCTCAACCACTGAGCCACACCAGCCGGGCTAGGCACCTGCTCTGTAAGTAAGCCCATCCCAGTGGACCAGGTCCCCACATTGAGCACAGCCCACGGATGGGTCGAGTGCCTCAAAATGAAAGGGGACTTTTAAAGAAAGGTTCCCCTGATGAGAAGAGGAACTCCGAGGACTGTGCAAAGTCACAGATAATTCCGAGATGTGTTGTCCGACCGGCGTGAACAGTCAGGTCTCGTTTTCATGATGCAGCCTGTTCGCTGCTGCCGTCCTCTTGCCTGGAGGCAGCCTCCCAGCAGGAAGGCCAGGCCGGCTCCCTTCCCTCCTGCGGCTCTGAGCTCTTTCCTTTCCCAGGCTTCCCTCCGGCAGGCTGCCCTGCATTCCCCGCGTCCTCTCAGGCAAGGGGTCCACTGGGCCCATCAGATCAGCTTCTGGGGCTGTGGCCCTGCGCCACGCAGACAGGCAGCTCGGCTCTCTGAGGGCACAGCCAAGGTGGCGGTTTTATTGTCATCAAACAACACACATTGGTTCCTAATTAGGGGACTTCTGACCTGCGCTGTGACCCCCTCTTCATCGTAGATGTGCAGGAGCAGAGCCCTGAGGCACAGGGACTCTCGTGGCCACGGAGCTGTCAGAAGTGGACTTCAGGTCACTGAGTCGCATCCCTTCAAACTCCCTCCCCATGTCCTGCCCAACACGGGGCAGGAGATGGCAGACCGGCCGCCCGGAATGACCGCCCCTCCTCTCCCGTCCTGCAGGCCTGGTGCTGGCCACGCCCGGAGGGAAGAAGGGGGCGGGGAGCAGAGGCACCGAGTTCTACGACGAGCTGTGGTTCATCGCGCTGATGGCCGTGCTGGGCCTCATCTTGCTGGCCATCTTCCTGTCCCTGATTCTGCAGAGGAAGATCCACAAGGAGCCCTTCATCCGGGAGAGGCCGCCCCTGGTTCCCGCGCCGAAGAGGACGTCCCCGCTCAGTGTCTACCCCCCGGGGGAGACCCACATGGTTTGTCCGAAGGCCACCCGCTTCCAGCACCAGACCGGAAGGCTCACCTTCTTAGAGGGACACGTTCCCGGGGCCTCGTAACCGGGACTGGGTGGTTGTTGTGTCTGACTGAGCGTGAGGGCTGGGAGCCGAACTCTAGGGCCGTGGTCAGCAAACTCATTAGTCAAAGAGCCAAATACCAACAGTACAATGATTGAAATTTCTTTTGAGAGCCAAATTTTTTAAACTTAAACTCTATAGGTAGGTACACTGTTATTAACTTAATTAGGGTACTCCTAAGGCTTAGGAAGAGCCACACGCAAGGGGCCAAAGAGCCACATGTGGCTCACGAGCCAGTTTGCCGACCACGGGTCTAGAGAATTCTTTTTGTTGTTGAATCCTCACCCGAGGATATTTTTCCCATTGATTTTTAGAGAGAGTGGAGGAGACAGAAACATAGATGTGAGAGACACACATTGATAGGTTGCCTCCACACAGGGATTAAGCCTGCACCCGAGGTACATGCCCCTGATTGTAATCGAACCCGGGACCCTTCAGTCCATGGGCCGGTGCTCTATCCACTGAGCCACACCGGCTAGGGCGAGTTTCAACACTAAAAGGTGGAAATGAGCGAATGGTAGCCTTGTCCGCCTCCCGGGTCTCCTTTCCCGGGACACAGCAGGGAGCAGGGGGGAGACCCTGAAGAGGCTGCCGTGCCCCAGGAGCAGGCGTGCTGGGGGCGGGGAGGGGCAGGCTCCCTGGGAGGCCGGAGCTGCGTGGCTGGCGCGGGATGCAGTGTGTGCAGGTGTGTGTCCTGGGGCATGCGCATCCCAGGGAGGCAGGGGGGTGTGAGTGTGCTCGGCTGTCACTGGAGAGACACTAAGGTTGTGCTGTGAAGTGCCGCCAGCGCTGACCCCACCTCCCGTCTGTCCCCAGTTTGACTCCGTGGCTGACGTCTCAGACGCATGCAGCAATGTCACCCTCAAGAGCTATACCATGCACTTCGAGGTAGCTCCCTCCGTGTGCTGCGTGGGTGCATGGCCCTGGGGTGGCGTGTTGACAGGAGGGGGAACTCGGACCCTGCCCATGTTTAAGGGCAGCTAGACCTGCCTTTCAGCGCGTTCTGGGGCCTCATCAGGTTCTAGGTCTTCGAGTGCCTTTGTGTTCCTGATATTAGTACCAGACCTGTTTTACTGCGGAGGCTGGAGCCTATAAGGGGAAAGATCCGGGATGAGAAGAAAGGGAGGGAGAAGTCCAATCCACCTTTTTTTTTTTTTTAATCCTCACCCGAAGATATTTTTTCATTGATTTTTTTGGGAGAGTGTAAAAGGGAGGGGAAGACAGAAACATCGATGTGAGTAAAACACATCAATTGGTTGCCTCCTGCAGGAGCCCCAACCAGGGCCCGGGCTGGGGAGGAGCCTGCAACTGAGGGACGTGCCCTTGACCAGAATCGAACCTGGGACCCTTCAGTCCGCAGGCTGACGCTCTATCCACAGAGCCACACCGGCCGGGGCCAAGCTGCACACTTTAAGTGCAGTACGAACGTGCTCCCTTAGCGGGGCCATGGGAAGGGGCTGCTCGGGGCGTTCCACTGATCACGGCAACTTCCTCTGCAGGGCTTGGCCGACACCAAGATCCCGCGGTCGGGGGCCCGCGTGAGCCTCAGGAGCAACCACAGCATCTCCGTCCTGCGGATCCCGAGCCAGAGCCGGCTCAGCCAGGCCTCCCAGGGCTCCCTGCACCGCAGCGTCAGCCAGCTGCTGGAGCTGCACGACAAGAAGGTCCTGGTGGACAACGCGCTGTGGGAGACCATCATGGGCCACGACAGCGGCCTGGTGAGTGCGTTCTCCCGGGGCCTTCGCTCAACCCCCGAGCGGGATGGCCTCCTGCCCCTGCTGGGGGCTGCCTCCCCCTCACCCGGCACAGGGCACCCTCTGGCCCTTCACCCAACAGCTCACTGGTGTCGCTGACTGTGGGACGAGCCGGGTAGAAAAGTCGTCTTGTTTTGTTAGCACACTGTACAGCTCAAAAAATACACTCATGAGTAAGTGAAGAGACACATGGTAGAAAGGACGGGAAACGTAATGGGCTCTGTTGTTTGCCATGAGCCCCCGGTGACTGGAATGAACAAATCCCCAGCTTGTACCGCCGGGCAGCTTCTTCCTTGTGCCGACTCCCTAGGTGTCTGCTGGCTGCTGGCGGACGGTCCTTGGGGACAGTAGGTAATAAACAGAGCCAGCTAAGGGCTTCGCTCGCACTCCCCTCCACGGCAGAATTCACCACCGGCATTTCTCCCACCCTCTGCTCCTGCTCTCCCCTGTCCTTCTCCCCAAGGTCTAACTTTTCCGTCACCCCAAGAGCTGCTGGCTTCCTTGAAGCCCTTCTTAACTAAGGGAGACTCTTAAAGCAAGTTCCCAGACTGCAGGTTCCAATCACAGTGACAAAACACACAGTGGGCTTATCGGGCATGCTGTGTGATAGCCATTTAAAAATATGTATTTTTTGATTTCAGAGAGGAAGGGGGAGAGAAACAGCCATGATGAGAATCATTGATTGGCTGCCACCTGCAAGCCACCCACTGGGGATCGAGCCCACAACCCTGGCGTGTGCCCTGACCAGGAATCAAACCGTGACCTCCTGGTTCATAGTTCGATGCTCAGCCAGAGCCACGTTGGCTGGGCATGTGATAGGCTGTGTGTGTGTGTGTGATAGGCTTTTTTAAATGGAGGATTTCCTTGAGGTTAGCAGGACTAAGTTCCACGGTTCCATCTCAGATCTAGTTTCTAAGTGGCAGGAATCACTGTTCCAGTCTCATGTCGGATGCACGATGGCGGCCGCAGGTGGCTCAGCGCAGCACAGGGAGGGCTCAGGTGCCGGTGTCCTCGCCCAAGGGCAGAGTCCTTTTTTCATGAACTGGGACCTGAGAAACATCCTGTGACTGCAGAGCCATTTTCCACTGTCCCACGAGGGGCCATTTGTGCCTGCTGTCCAGGGCTAGGAGCAGGCAGCATGCCCAGCAGTGCTGGGACTGCTCCGGAGATGCCAGTAGGTGGCGCATTAACTTTCCTTATGCGCCTGAACCTACTCAGTACACAAAGGCAGTGGGAGTGGGGAGCAGGGAGCCATAGAGCTTGTGTTCCGGCTCTTCCGCTTGCATTTTGAACTAAATCTCAAATGTGTGTGTGTGTGTACACGCACACACACACACACACACACACACACACACGTATAAAGGCTGCGTAAGTACTCCATTTTTAAAATGTTCTTACTTGCCCACCCCACTTTTATATATTGTCTCCACTTTGCTGACCAGAACACAGGCTTAGAAAGATGGTGTGGCACAATGCGCTCCTCCGTGACACATACATTGGCTTAGTGTGTAGCTCACCTGTGCGTGTGACCTGATGCTTCCCGTGAGTTTCAGGCAAGGAGGGCTCCGACCACACCTCAGGGGATTAGAACTGCGGCCGGGGGGCGGGCGCTGCGACAGCGAGCCTCACCTAACCAGACGGCTTCTTTCCAGTACCTGGACGAGGAGGACCTGATGAACGCCATCAAGGGCTTCAGCTCCGTGACCAAGGAGCACACCACCTTCACCGACACCCACCTGTAGGGCCGCCGCCTGCAAACTGTGAGTGAGCCTGGGCGTGGCTGCACGCCCCATTCCCGCGCCATCTCCCTGACACACCAGAGGCAGAGCCGCTGCTCGTTATCTGTCATCCTTTAAGGACATGAGGTCGGTCCCCCTAGCAGAGGTCGTTGTTCTGGTGTCTGAAACAAAGGGTGCTGAGCACACGAACTCTCTCATTGTGAGGAAGCTGAAAACTACACTTTCACCTGGCCCTGGCTGTGGCAGAGAGCCCACAGGTAAAACCATCAGTGGGCGCAGGGCAAGAGAAGTCAGTCTCAGGGCGAAGTGATTCCGAGAGCATGTCCCTGCGGGTCCCACGACCCTGTCAGGACAGCTATTCCAATGGTCACAGCCGCAGAACCAACCCCGACTTCAGCCCAGCGGGGTCATTCAGGGGCACACCCTGGGGAAGGGTTTGTACTCGGTTACACTGTTCAGAGACGTTCCCGACCTGCCCCAGCATCACAGTTACAAGGGTCTGTTCCCAGCGGCCTTTTACTCCTGCAAAAGGCTGTGTAAGTACTCAGCTTTTTACATTTTCTCACTTTCCCACCCAACTTTTATGTGACTGACGAGAAAGATGGGACAGGTAATTACAGCCCTTAGTAACACCCACCTTGTGCTTCCCTGGCAACGTCAGTTACTTTCATGCATATGAAGTGCTCCCTCTCGCCTCCCTTTTTTGTTATGGGAAGAAGACATGGACAAACGCATGTAGGTACACGTTAAACAGCTGTTCCTAAAACAACTGAAAACACAGTAGTCTTCATCCTTTTTATTTGACTTGATAAATAAATACAGGAGAACGGTTGTGAAACCACTGGCAATATGGTAAACTTTTAAAGCATTTATTCAATTTTACTCACTGATTTCCTGGAATGAGAATATATACATTTTTTACCAATAAATGCTTAATGCTTCACAATTACCCTATTTGCAGATACTTGAAAGTCATTCCAATCACATGGAAAAAAAATACAAAAAATTTTTTTATTCTTACAATTTAAAATATATTCAAAATAACATTTTTGCAGCAGCCCAAACCTTTGACAGAAATTTCAGAGCTGTAGTCTCCTGAGCATCTCTAGGCGCAAGCGGCGGGCCTTACACGCCATGCACATGGAGAGCCGCAAACCTCACATGTCAACTCTGGTCGCGCAATGTTAAAATCAGACTTGTTAGTGACGTCTCTGGGTCCGTAAATATTCCAGCGCATACGGAAGAAGGGGGATGGTTCTGTTTTGGATGTGTGGCAATTAACTGATTAACAAAGTAGCCACGTTCTGATTTAATAGTTTGGGTTATTAACACGGTGGCTCCTACTCGAGGCAGACTCGCACTTGGTAGTGTTCCTTTCTGGGCGCTCATAGCTTTGTCCTTATTCCATCTGTTCAAACACAGACAACTGCTACCACTTGAAAGAAAGTTGAAGTGGACTTTGGGCATTTACTATTGGTGATGCGTGCTAAGATTTAAGACCTACACTTACAAGTACCCTCAGCAACTCTGCCACCAGGGCAGCCTGGTGTTCAACATCAATAGTGTTTTGAATGACACGGTATTTCTCCACAAACATAGCACCTCATTAAGTATCAGGTAAACACTGTGCAATCACAATTAGGTTGAGAGACTAAGTTCCACGGAGAGAAGGTGTGTGATTTACGATAACCTTGCAAGGCAGGCCTCAGGCATAATCTACATGAGGAATGTGGTCGGTTGGTTCCCATATTCTCAGGGGTGCTCACCTATACGGTGCCATCTGGTTAGGGTGGGGTGGTTCCTACACGTATTTCTGAGCTCCCTGGACTAGCTTTACAAATGATCAATTGAACACGCTTGTAAACCTAAAAATAATCTTCAAAAAGGTCAAAAGAGCTCTAGTTTTTTTCTTTATCCATCTCATTCTGTGAAAAAGATATTAAGTGAAGTCCAACGTTTTTTGTCAAGTTTTGGTGTAGAAGCTAGTGTACTGGATCCAGTTGGACTTCCTCTACAGCAGGGGTGGGGAATGTCCGGCCCGCAGGCTGCACAAGGCCCTGCCTGGGCATGGGTGGCGAGGCCGTTACATGTCCGACCGCATGCAGCAGGCTCACGTTGAAGCTGGTAATTCATACAGCCTACGCGTAATGTCAGATGGCCAAAGGCCCTTGGCCGGAAAAGGTCCCCACCCCTGCTCTGAGTGAACAACACCCACCCTGCCGGGGGAGTTCACAGGCTGTACTCCTGCCCCGAGGAGTCGCTCTTCTTGTGCCGAGGGGACGGCGTGGTCTTGGTAGGAGAGGGGGACGCAGTCCCGGGCGAGTCGGTGCCTCCGTCGGAGGTGCTGGGCGAGGAGGCCAGGTGGGGCCCTTTCTTCCTGCCCAGGAGCCCTCCTCCGTCGAACCCGCCTCTCTTGTGGAGCTCCCCTTTGTCACCATCATCCTCGGGCGCCCTCTTCTTGGGTTCCGGGGCAGCGTCGGCCGCTCTGTGCGCTTCCGACCCACCATCGGACTCCCTCGCGCTTCTCGTTTCGGCTCCAGGAGCCTTGCTCTCGGGCCCAGCACAGTCCCCCGCCGCCCGCTTCACCTCCGCCTGGATGGGGCCCGAGGTGGCGTCTTCCGGCTCGGCGCGCTCCAGGTTTCTGTTCAGGTTGAGGGTCTGGAAGTCGCGGTAGCTGTGGAAGCTCTCAGTCCGCCGCGCCCGGGCCAGCAGCGGGCTCTCCCGGTACGGCCGCACGGAGCCATACGTGGCTGCCTCGTGGGTGGTCTCCTGGTGCTGCAGCTGGAGGCTGGAACGGGTTTAGAAATCACAGGTCAGGAATTAAACCACAGTATATGCACGTGACATAAATATGTAAAGACACTACGTTCTTGTTCTTATTTCTATCTGTAAAAATACATTTGAGTACTTTATGAAATTGCGTGTGTATAAACTACCCATGCAAATATCCCAGATGTAGTCAGTGAAGTGGGATTCTGTTTTCAATTACAGTGGCATAAAGTATGTATTAGTCCCAGGTGTACAACCGTGATCAGGCCTTCATGTAATGTACAATGTGATACCCCGTAAGTCTAGGACCCATCTGACACGGTAAGGTTATTACAGTATTGACTGTACAGTGGAACCTCGTTTCTCGAACAGTTCGCTTCTCACCCTGACAACCCTTCCCCGCTGACGCCTGTAGGATCAGCCTCGCCTCCCTCAGGTGATTAAGGAGAGAACACACAAATACACATTTTAGCAGTTTCCCTCGGCTAAACTCTCAGAATATTGTGCTGTAAATATTTGTGTTTTGCTTTCGTTGCTGCTTGTGTTTGTGTATAGATTACACAGCCAATTAGCCATGTACTATATAGATGAAAGGTTAAAACAGGAATCATTGGGGGGTCGAATGGATTATTTCTAATAGGAAGGAATGATTCACTTTTCCAACAGCCCCCAGCACAAATCAAGCTCGAGAAATGAGGTCCCACTGCATTCCCTACGCTGTACCTCACGCCCTCGTGACTGTTCCTGTAACCCCAGCTAAGTGTCTGGATGGAAAGCTGGAAAAAGCTGGAGAAAGGGCTTTAAAACCACGGTAGAACCAACGTAATTCAGTATCAGGCCTTCAGTTTAGATTTGGATTTTTAAAATACATTAACTAAAAAGATGTAATATGTCTTAAAAGTACACAATGCATGCAAATTCCGAATCGTCATGTTGTACACCAGTAACTACTGTAGTGCTTGCTGTATGTCAATTACACCTCAGGAGAACAAACTGCATAATGTCAAGATCAGGAACAAAAGTCACAGATGATGATCTTTCTGATTTCCTTTGAATGATTCTCGATCACAAAACAGGCACCCAAATGAGCAGAAATTCACAAAATAAGGTAAAGGGTAAAAATGTCTTCCAATGCAAAGAACCAGATGCATGCAGTGGAGACCTTGAGTGAGAAAAGTGTGACTGCGACGTGACTAAAAAGCGGCCTTTATGAACGCGTCCCCCGGAGCAGCCGCCCACCTGGAGCCGGCCTCGCGGAGCCGGCTGTGCTGCAGGGAGGCGGCCGGGCTGATGCTGGGCGTGGCGCAGCGGGAGGTGCTCAGGTCGCACTGGTCCAGCAGCTTCAGCAGCTCCTCCTCCGTGGGGCCGCCTGCATCTGAGGAAGCACAGGATTACACCGCTGCCTGCTGCTGCCTGCGCGCCCCGTACCCGGGTCCCCGCGACGCCTACCCTTGTCCTCGCTCTTGCTGACCATGTCCATGGCGGTGGTCAGGTCCCACATCTGAATGCTGCCGTTGGTGTGGCCGGTGAACAGGTAGCGCCGGGGCCGGGAGCCCATCCTGCTGGAGCCCTCGCACTCCCGCACGGTGAAGGCGGAGATGGTCGTGCAGTCCACGGCTTGGATCTCGCATATTCTGTAAGCGATGGCACACAGTCGTAAACCACGGGAAGGACAGCATTGCAGTTAAAGTAATTCCAAAATCTGAATTAGAGTCAGAGTTGAATACACCATATACACAAACAGATGTAAAGGGGTCAAGGCGAGTCACAGGAATCAAAGTTAAACTGTTTCTTTGAGTCTCATGGAAAGGTTCTTACAAAATAACGCAGTAAAAGCCATCGAAACCAGGCAAATAATTTAAGGCAATCTTGGAAGAGCCTTGGTAAGACATGAGCAGTTCTTTCAAAGGAGTTACAGACATTCACTAGGAAAGATGCTGCAAGTCATTGAAGATTTCTGTGTAAATTACAAACATCTGAAACCAGAGGCCTGCGAGCACCCTCCATCAGGACGATACTCTGACCTCTCGGAGCCGGAGCTGTCTGTAAGCAGAAGGCGTCGCATTAGCTGCTTAAGGGGCTGCTGTTCTATTTCTGCTTATTTTTATACATGTAGCTTTTCCTCTGGAATCGTAAAGTTAACAGGTATAAACTAACTGTAGTTGGTACAACACATTGCTACTGTGTGAGCTAAAGAGAGGAGGGAGGAGGTTAGACCTGAACAAGGAGATGAAATACTATGTTGTCAGAGGCTGTTAACAACAGCAGTTTTAATAAACATTTGGCAGCTTCTTCAAATATGCACAGAACACTGAGTGATTTATAACATTTCTCAAGGTAATAATTTCGTCTTTGCATGAACTTCGATAAAAAATTTATCATCTCAGATTTTTTTAAAATAGTAAGAAATTAGAAATAATATGCTGAAGGATAACCAAGAAATTATTAAAAGCAGAGTAACATTAATATGAGTATCCATAACTCTCTTAAGTACTAATAGGAATTTTGACATGCAAAAAGGTGTTATGTCTTTAAAGAAGAGAAATGTTATAGCTCAATGTGTCTGAGGCGATAACATTTTTAAAACAGCCAAATGGACAAGGAAGAGGAAACTAACGTGTACTCGGCATCTATGCTGGTTCGGGCGACACCGGGTAGGTCATGTTTTTTACTCATTTGATCCTATGCCGTCCTACAAGGTGGGGACCTTCTTTTATAAAGAAACCGGGGCTCAGAGAAACAAAGCAACTGAGGGTGAGTGTCAGCGGCTGGCGAGAGGAAGCGCCAGAACCCGCGTTCGGGTCAGCTGCCCGCCTCCCCTCCCGTTTGCTCTGCCAGCACTGGTCCTTCCTGACTGTCCAGCATCAGGAAATCTTACGTGAATCCTACAGAACAAGCACTCCATGTCCTGCCCTGGCTCCACGTTAAGCAGGGCCGGGCGGTGGGCAGACTCCTCGGCCGTGTGCGCCCGCAGGCTCATCAGCGATTCCACACGGTTGTCTGAGGAGGAGTCCTGAGCGGGCCCCGGCCCGGGAGCCTTACCTCTTCCCAGTGGAGGAGAGCCTGACGAACAGCTTGTTGGTGATGGGCACCACTTTCTGGATGAACACCTGCTGATCATCTCGCTCGCCAAAGGGCCCTTGATCAGACGATGCCAAAAGAAGTTCAAGTTTAAATGGTTTCATTGAACATTAATACTGGGGGGGAAAGGATTTTTCACGCCTGTCAATGTAGCCTTGCATTCCACATCAAACAGACAAAATGCAAGGACTTCAACTTGCATTAAAACATTTTTAAGAAATGCATGTTTCAAAACTGTTTTGCAGTGAGGCTGTTAAAGCTGAAGGCAGGAATAAGCTTAGGAGTGTCCATGGTCAGTGCCCGTGGGAACCCGGGAATGCATAAGCTCCACCTTTGTACTGACCTTTTTTTGGGGGGGAAGGGGGGGGAGCCAACATGCAAAATCTTAAAAATAAAGTGCAACCCCATTAAGTAGAATTTAATGAATCAGAAGCCTGTTGCACCCTGCAAAGTCTTCTTATCTAATTAAGGAAAAGATTCAATTCTTTTTACTTGGTTGTACTTGGCAAGGCAAATCATTGACTCATCCATTTTAGAAAGATTCTTCACATAAGTGTTTTCATAAAAAACTTAAATGTAGTATTTTAATAATTCTCTTACCCCGTCATACTCAATATCTAAAATAACAAAGTATTATTCACAAAAGTATATGATGTACACGATATAATTCACACATTACCTTATGTGAATCATACCTAAGGAGATGAACAATTACATCTTCATTAAAGAAATAAAGTGCTCCAATTCGCATAACCATCATGGCTTTTAATTATAAACAAAAATGGTTAGCTTTGGAGATATGTACTAAATCTGTTTTAAATGGATTTCTTAATTTCAATCTCACTTCCAGGTTTCTACTGCTGTTCACACTCTGCCCCGGCCACAGGATGGGAAAGCCGAACACGCTCACCGATGTCGTTCCCGGAGGAGTAGCTGCCGGGACTCTCCGTCTCCTCCAGAGACAGGATCTTGAACGAGGCGAGAGGAGTGGAGCCGGGCTGGGTAGAGATCATGCCTCTGAACCGCGTCACCGTCCACGTGCGGACGTGGTTGTTATCTGCACAGACTACGAGGCAGAAGAGGGAGGAGCTAGTAATACGGGTCTGTAAGAGCACCAGCAAACACAAACACACTCACTTTTCACTGTGCTCACCACTGAATAGATAGATCACAGCACATCTTTTCGAGTGGCAAATGGCATGTTTATCTTAAAATTACACTTAATTTGAGAGAGCTGAATATGATTTTCCTGCTGCACATGTAAGGTATGTAAGTACATCTATGGACCCTCATAAAAGTGGCCTATAGAGTAGAAAAGGGTAAAGAAAAGTATTTGTAAGAGAAAAGATAGTAAACAAGTTGCCTAGTTTGTTTTTTAAACCACAGAAACTTTCTCCTTATGTTACTCAGATATTAAACAACCTAGACCAGGAGCAACTGAAAACGTATCGTCACAAATGACATTTGTCAGAAGCTATTAGGAACCCACTGACAGTTACATGAGAAAAATTAAGATTCCCTATAAAGCTGAGAACTATTTTTATATCAAGTAAGAGTATGTATTTTAAAAATATACTCTAACTTCATTTAGTTTTTCATATAAATATTAAGTAGGCATATATTGAGATAATCCTAACAAGTAGCCTCTCTTTTTTTCCCCTTTGGTCTGAACACATAATGATACTTTTTGGCTTATATTTTTAAATTACTGTAAATTTTGTGGCATACCTTAATAAAAATGTATACTAATTTGACATGATTTCAGAAACTTATTACCAATAAGTTATGAACTCATCAGTAAATACTAGGAAAACATCTGAAATTAACGGTAGATATACAACAGTTTTTACTGGAAAAATGCCATAGTTGCACATTTTAAAACAAAACTTTAGAAAGGAATTTGATTTTTTCTAATTGCAATAGGAATAAAAAATGTACAAATGTTACTTAGGTAACAAAATTCTCAATTCTCAGAATACCAGCTTTCTGTTAAAAAGACATTTAGTTCTAGGCTGTTTATTCAGCTTCATGGGTAATAATATCCTGATTTCACTATTAACCCAAGGATTCAGAAAAACACCT